TCTTCTTCTCCTTCTCTTTCTTCTTCTCCTTATTGGTTCGGACTACTGTAGCTACAGTAGAAACATATTGGATATGAATAATGCACTTATGAGTGTTCACCTGGAGTGCATCAACTATCTAACAACTTTTTAAGAAAGTCTCAGAGAACAAACATCATAGTGCAATATTGGACTTACTTCAAGTGCTGTATCTGGGCCTATGTTGGAACCAAACATTGATACAGTCATGTAGCTAAGATAATACTGAGATGCTATGGAGCCCAGCATCATAGGCTCCACACTGTCTTCATTTATCCTGATGCATCCACTGTCTTCCAGATCTTCAAATGTATTTTGGACTAACCTGCTGAACAGAAAAGATCAGGAACCAAAACACTCCCGCCAGGACATGGTTTAAAAACAACAAAGTTCATTGAATCATATAGTATATTGGTACCTTGACAAGTATGCATTTAAAGTTTTTGTTTCGGTATCTTCTAATCCATAATATGCTGGATTAACAACCTGTCACATGCAAATATATATATGATCAATGATAAGTACATTAAATCACAGATCATGCTGGATGGACTTGCATATTATTCTTCCCAATTGTTCATCAAAGAATTTTCACAAGAAAAAAGTAGCTCATATACCAGCTCTATACCAGATAAAATGTGTGCATGCATGTCATCCTTTTTTATCTTTTTGATTGATAACCATAGTTGTCAAGGCGACTAGGCGCTTTTCAAGGAGCGCCTCGCCCAAACGCCAAGAAAACATGTATTAGGCGCATGCTGAGGGGACTGAAACACATATATAGTATACAATATTTTATTAAATATAAATATAAAATATATAATATTTTATTGGTTGGCTTTAGTTTTTATAATAGGACATCTTGCATGTTATCATGTTTTTGTTATGAGGAAGAAGAGAGAACAACAGCCCTCCGTCGTTCCGACACAATCCTCTAAGTCAAGGTGAGTTAATCAGTTTCCTCCATTTTGTTCTCTTTTTCCACTGGTTTAAAATAGTGGTTACACCCTATTGTTCTCCTCTTCCTTGTTGGACTAAAGCCATTCTTCTTTCCTGGTTTGAATCATATTATTGGACTAAAACAGGGGCTCCACCCCCTTCTTTTGTTCTGAAATTTCTTGCGTGTTTTCAGCTCTTTTTCCCTCATTATTGGTGCCTGAAATTCTTCATAGTCTTCTTTTATTTTAGTATTTTTTTTCACCAGCTTTTCTGGGTCTAGAACAGGGGCTCCGCCCCCTTCTTTTGTTCTTAGCTTCTTGCATTTTTCAGCCCTTTTTTTGTTCTCATCATTGGTGTCTGAAACAGGGGCAGAGCCCCTTCTTTTCTTCTTCATATTTGTTCTTTTATTTTAATATTTTTTCACCTTCTTTTTCTGGGTCTAGAACAGGGGCTCCACCCCTTACTTTTCTTCTTCATTTTCTTCTTTTATTTTAGTAATTGTTCTCATCAAGCAACACTGCATGAATCACAAGCACAAAAGTAAGTGCAGAACACATAAAACCAAAAAAAAACTACAGAAGGGGTAGAAATCCATCGGCTTCTTATTTTTAAATTCCATCGCCTAGGCGAGGGCTAGGTGCCCCATGGTTGCCTAGCCTCGCCTTGGCGCCTTGAAAACTATGTTGATAACAAAAGGGTTAACAAAAGATCTAACAGAATAGACACAAAGCACCAAAGTGCCATATGGGGAATGAAGAAAAGCTGCCCCAACAACTACCCATGGTACCCATGGCCCAAGTGAATACCACTGTAAACCTAGGTGCAAGGACTTGTAATTTATTAAAGGCTGCATTTGGTTGCAACACAAATTGAACCAGATACAAATTTCTGCCCCATTCAGTTTTGCATCTGTTTGTTTGCAACCATGATTTGTACTCCCACCTGATACATAATTAGTACTTTTTGTCTCAATTGCACTCACTAGCAGTGTAAATTTTGCATCTCAAAAACTGATGCAAAATTTGCACTCCCAAACAAATAACCCTCCTACCCCCATTGTCTTTCATATAAGGTGGGACCACACCATTTTACCTCCTATTTTACTTTTCACAAACAAACAAGATAGGGTCAAATCCGAAGCAAAAACAAACCAGAATATACACTCAGCGTATTTGCACTCCCATGCATTTACACTAGTGAAAATTTTCATTTGTAATGCAACAAAATGCAGCCTAAAGAGAAATAAATAAGAGAACATTTAAGAGAGGAAAGGAAGAGAAAAGAAAAGACTTTGGTTCAAATAAGAAACTCACACCAATTGCATCCCAACCAATTGCATCCACACCAAGAGATGGGGAGGGTGGAAAAACACTCGGACCTGAAACTGTCTGAGTGTCCTCAAAAACCTGCAGGGTGTTGGACTCTGAAACTGTCTAATACAGACATGTCATCCATTTGGGGGAGTCTATGCAACAATGGCTAAAGTTTATTTTTTTACACCTTATACACACTTGTTAGTGTTGAGTATGTAGGGGAATTTCTGTCTTTATACTTATGTTGAGGTTGCTGATCTGTAATATTATATTAGAACTAGTGTCCCTCATTTAAGTAAGGGCACATGTGTCTTTTCCATTATGTTAGTAATATAAAACATATCTGGCCGACTGGGAGAGGTAATTCTCTCTCATTCGAACCAGACTTTTCTTCTCTCCTTTTCTCCTCCTTTCTCTCTCTTTCTTTGTTCTTTCTTCTTCTCTCTTCTTGGCTGTTATCAGACTAACAGAACTCAAGGGCAGGCCGAATCATAATATGGTATCAGAGCACAACTAAACAACTCGGATCTGGCCAGATTTCTGTTTTCTGCGAACCTAGTCTAGGGTTTTCTCTTGATTTCTCTGCCATCTATTGGAGATAAGGGAAAGGGCTGAAAAGGAGTGGTCGCCCTCTTCCCTTGGAGGTCTCTATGCCTCCAGTTGTGCTGTTCGTGGTCGGTTGCTGTGGTTTCTAAGAAGCCCTCCCCTAATCGATGAAGAGAAGAGGGCTGATTCGTGTGGTGCAGTGGGTGTCTTGTGTGGTCTGATTTTCTTCTGATGAGGTAAGAGATTTCTATGCATATTTTTGTTATGAACCAAATAGGAAGTATGTTTTAGATCGTATGGTGGGATTTCAGACTGTAGTGTGCTAGGGTTTATGCTGTTTTTAGTGTGATTCGAAGGGGGAGTGGTCCTCGTATAGTGTGGTGAGATTTCAGGTAGTCGTGGGGTAGGGTTTGTGGTGTAAAGAGTGCAATCTTCAACAATAACAAGTGCTGAAACCAGTGTGATCAGTGTGCCGAATTCGGTAATAACAGAATTCGGCAATGGGAGATAGCAGTGATAGAAAATCTAATGTGATGATACCTACTGACTACCTGAATGTTCAAATGACCTCCATTAAATTGAATGGAGAGAATTGTGTACCTTGGGCTAAATCTGTAGAAGTTTTTTCTAAAGGCAAGGAAGAAGGTGAAACACATAAGGGAGGAAAAACCCTCCACTGATTCTCATGAGTATGATGACTGGGAACAAGAGGATGCATAGATTATCATGTGGTTATAGAACAGTATGGAACCCAAGATTAGTGTAAATTTCATGTTTCTTGACACTGCCAAAGATGTGTRGGACCATGCTAAGAAGTTGTATTCTGGTCAAGACAATACAACCAGAGTATATCAGCTGTATCAGAAATACTTTAATCTGCAACAGGGCAATCAGAGTCTTGAGGAGTACTATGCTAGTAGAGAAACATCCGTAATGAGTTGAATGTTTATCACCCCCTCACTTTTGATGTCAAAATTCAGCAACAACAGAGAGAACAACTTGATGTGACTCGATTTTTGGTGGGGCTGGAATCTGAGTATGAACCAATGCGGGCTCAGATACTAGGAGGGTCAGCTATCCCTTCCTTAGAAGAGGTGTTCACTCGACTTCGGAGGATTTCCATTGGATCTACTGAGAACTCTAATGTTTCTGATAGATCAGCCTTTGCAGTATCGAAGGGCCGTGGTGTTAGATGTGGAGCTCGGGGAGCTCAGTCTGGCTGTAGTGGTAGTAGTGGCCCGGTATATGGCTGGAGTGGTGGTGGTGGACCTGCGTATAACCGTGGTGGTGGTCGTACTGGAGGTAGAGATTCAGGGGGAGCCCATGGCAGAGGACGTGGTTCGGGTCCGAGGAGGTGTACTCATTGTGGTATGGATGGACATACCATTAATTATTGCTATGACTTGCATGGTCCACCCTCAACTTGGGCCAATCATGCCATGACTAGTGACACCAGTTTCAGATAGGAGAGTCGTTCAGCTGATCAGATGCCTCCTACATCCACAGATGTTCCCGGGAAGGAGATGGTGAGTGTTACCCGTGATGAGTATGAGAGGTTTGTCTAATCCACATCTCAGCAGAACACGACTACTCTCGCACACTCAGGTATGCTTGTTTGGCATCCACACCCAATCCTTGGATTATTGACTCTGGAGCCTCCGATCACATGATTGGAACTCCATGTGTGTTTTCTTCCCTCTCTCATTGCTCAACATCACAATCTGTTACCCTTGCTAATGGTTCCACATCCTCCATTTGTGGTGTTGGCAATGTTAAGATGACCCCCTTATCTTTATCCTCAGTTTTGTATGTCCCTAAATTTCCATTTAACCTTATGTCTGTTAGTAAGTTGACCAAGTCACTCAATTGCTCTATTACTTTTTACCCTTCTTCGTGTGTTTTTCAAGATCTCAAGACGGGGATGAAGAAGATGGATTGTATTATCTTGACGGTGGTGGAAGAACATCAACAGTTCTCCAGTCATCTCTCTCTCCTCTCTAGTGGCACTGTCGATTTGGTCATCCTTCGCAGAAAGTTTTGATGTCTTTGGTTCTTTCGTTGAGTCAACTTTCTGTTTTAGATTGTGAGTCGTGTCAGTTGGGGAAACATCGCCGTGTTCCCTTTAGTCCTAGGGTTGATAACCGTGTGTCGAGTCCTTTTTCTTTGGTTCATTCAGATGTTTGGGGTCCTTATAAAGTGATGTCATACAATGGATATAGATATTTTGTCATTTTTGTTGATGATTATTCAAGGATGACGTGGCTCTATTTAATGAAAGAAAAAGTGAATTGTTTACCATCCTCCAAAAATTTTATGCTGAGATTCGCAACCAATTTGGTGTTCACATTAAATTTTTTCGTTCCGATAATGGCCGTGAATATTTCTCTTCATCATTTCAAGAATACTTGGACCAACATGGCATTATACATCAGACCTCATGTAATTACACCCCACAACAAAATGGGGTGGCTGAGAGAGAATCGTCATCTTTTGGAAACAACTCGATCCCTCGTGCATCACATGAATGTTCCCAAACCCTTTTAGAGTGATGCGGTGCTTACTTCTTGCTTCTTGATTAATCGGATGCCCACATCTATCCTTGATGGTCATTCCCCATTCACTGCCTTGTTTCCCACCTTGTCTCTGTTTCCTCTTTCTCCTCGGATTTTTGGGTGTGTCTGCTTCGTC